CCAGCCTGGACAACAGAGCAAGACTCTTGTCTCAAAAAAGAAAAAAAAGAAAGAAAAAGAGGAATGGTTAAGAGTCTAGTCTCTGAGGTCAGGAGGCAAAACCCATTTCTCCCTCTAATCTTTGTGAACTTGTCGTTTGTTTTTTGTTTTGTTGTTTTTTTGGCAGAGTCTTGCTCTGTCACCCAGGCTGGAGTGTGCAGTGGTGCATCTCAGCTCACTGCAACCTCTGCCTCCTGGGTTCAAACGATTTTTGTGCCTCAGCCTCCCGAGTAGCCGGGATTACAGGCGTGCGCCACCACGCCCAGCTAATTTTTGCGTTTTTAGTAGAGACAAGGTTTCACCATATTGACCAGGCTGGTCTTGAACTCCTGGCCTCAAGTGATCCACCCGCCTCTGCCTCTCAAAGTGCTGGGATTACAGGCGTGAGCCACAGCTCCTGGCCAGAAAAAATTTTTAACCTGAGGGTTAAATGAAAGAAGGCATGCATAGTACTTATTAGTCCTTCTCACATAGACAGTACTCATTAAGTGATAGAAGCTACTATGTCTTCTTAATAATTCTAGTATTCTGCTGGAGAAGGCAAAAATTCTGTAATATGGTTACAATGCTAGATAAACCAGGGGTCTCATCCCCTTCAACCTTATGTGAGTAAAACTACAGGTCTTAATGCCACCACACTCATCCATTTCTTCATGAATCAGTATTTCCGAGTAAATGATATGGCAGAGATGCTCTCCAAGAAGCTTGTTTATTATGAGTTCCTATATTTATACCCTCATATTAATACCCCATCAACGCCTTGCCCTCAATTTAGGTCCCGAAGTACTCCACTTTCTGTAGGTTCTTAATTACTGCCCTAATTTCAGACCTAATTCTTATAGCAGTATCTTCTTTAAGTGTCAGAGCACAGAGGAAAGGGCATTAAATAATCATACATATTTGGTTACAGAAAAAAAATTGAGAATGAATTTATTTCTCACCTTAAAGATTTGGGGAAATAGATACATCCCCCATCCTGTTGTTTCATTAGCTAAGGTCCACATTAGGCCCATATCATAGGCAAAAACAAAATAAACACAACACCTCATTTTGGTCAGAATAAAGAAAAGTGAGCTGGGCGTGGTGGCTCATGCCTGTAATCCCAGCATTTTGGGAGGCTGAGGGGGGAAGGTTGCTTGAGCTCAGAAGTTTGAGGCCAGCCTGGGCAACATAGACTTCGTCTTACTAAAAATAAAAAAAATTAGCCAAGCATGGTGGCATGTACCTGTAGTCCCAGCTACTTGGGATGCTGAGGTGAGAGGATTCCTTGAGCCTGGGAGATCGAGGCTGCAGTGAGCTTTGATCACACCACTGGACTCCAGCCTGGGTGACAGATGGAGACCCTGTCTCAGAAAAAAAAAAAAGAAAAAAAGTGGCTTTCAGAGTGTGCTTTCCACAAGCCCACTAGGGGTTGCTCTCTGCTCACACAGAGCCAATTCTGAGTGGTGAGGCCTCCCACTTAGAAGTCGTCTTTAGCACAGGTTCCACAGCTAAAATAAGTCCAGAGCATAATTTAACTCTGGTGGGAAACCACCCCAGGGTATTCACTGACCATCAGCCCGTTCTTTTTCCATCCAGGAATAGGCATAAGGATCAAACACACAAGGTCGATACAAAAGGGGCACAGTCATCACCACCTTCCTCGAGAATAGCCTTCTTTGACTTTCCTGATCTGGATAAATTTATTTCCCCTCTGAATTCGTACAACAATTACTGCCTGTGCAACTCATTTTCCCAGCTTCCTCTAGGTATCATCCAGTGTCCAACACCTTTGCTTAAAGTGACTGCTTTCAGAACAGCAGTGCAACTTAGGCAGTTGCTGAACCAGAGTGAAACTCTTAGAGACAGGCTGGGCACAGTGGCTCACGCCTGTAATCCCAGCACTTTGGGAAGCTGAGGAGGGCAGATTGCTTGGAGTCAGGAGTTCAAGACCAGCCTGGCCAACACTCCAACCTGAGCGACAGAGCGAGACCCTGTCTCAAATAAATAAATAAATAAATAAAACAAAATTCATATTGAAACTTAATGCCCAAATGTGGCAGTATTGAGAGGTGGGATTTTCAAGAGGTGACTGGATCTGGAGGACCCTGTCCTCATGAATGGATTAATAGATTAATGGGTTAATATGGGAGTGGAACTAGTGGCTTCATAAGAAGACGAAAAGGGACCTGAGCAAGCACCGCGGGATTCCCTGAGCCACTTTGGTATTCTGCAGAGTTTCCATTAGCAAAAAGACTCTTACTAATTGAGGCCCCTTGACCCTGGACTGCTCAGCCTCCATAATTGTAAGAAATTTATTTATTTATTTTTTTTTTTGAGATGGTCTCACTCTGTTGCCCAGGCTGGAGTACAGTGGCATAATCACAGCATAATGCAGTCTCAATATCCTTAGGCTCGATGATTCTCCCACCTCAGCCTCCCAAGTAGCTGGGACCACAGGTGTGCTTCAGTGCGCCCAGCTAATTTTTGTATTTTTTTTTTCTTGTAGAGATAGGGTTTCGTCACATTCGAACTCCTGGGCTCAAGCGATCTGTCCACCTCAGCATCCCAAAGTGCTGGGATTGTAGGTGTGAGCCACCACCCCCGGCCCCAGTAAGCAGATTCAATTGTTGTAAAACAGCTTATAGCATACTGTGTTGTGCTGTCTGCAGTAAATGCATTTATGATGTTTTCCACTGATTATGTGTTTATTGGGATGTAACCCTATCATAAGTCAAGGAGCATCTGTATCTCATATGTAGCTCCTCCATAATTTATGGCAACCAATATATTTCTCTATTTATACGAATACTCTATTTTTTTAAAAATTATTACGGAAATTGGTAGACACATTCAGAAGTAAAAGAGGAAATAAACTTAAGTGCTGTTCACTCAGTTCAACACTTTGTTAGCATATGGTCAATCTAGTATATATTTTCAGCTTTTGTATCATTTCATCCATAAATACTTAAAGCATTTATTCTCTGTCTTGCAATAATTTATTTTCAAGTCATTTCTTTGACTAGACCAGCAACTATCTTTATTTTATTTTTTGGTTCTATTTTTTGAGATGGGATCTCACTCTGTCACCTAGGCTGCAGTGCGGTGGCACAGCCTTGGCTTACTGCAGCCTTGACCTCCTGGGCTGAAGCAATCCTCCTTTCTCAGCCTACCGAGTAGCTGGGACTACAGGTACATGCCATCACGGCCAGCTAATTTTTGATTTTTTTTTTTTTTGTAGAGGTGAGGTCTTGCTATGTTGCCCAGGCTGGTCTCAAACTCCTAGGCTGAAACAATCCTCCTGCTCAGTCTCACAGAGTGTTGGGATTACAGGCATGAGCCACTGTGCCTGGCCTAAACCAGTAAGTCTCATAGGCAGGAAGTCTGTCTTATTTTTCCTTATATTCCCATCATTGAACACATTGTACATAGTCATTAAACATTTATTAAATGAATAAACAAGTGAATGCTGAATTAAATTAAATAGTAAGTGAGAAGAGAACTGACATTTAGGCTCTGGGGAGCACTAACAAAAGGATAGACAGAGGAATACAATCTAGCAAAGGATATGTAAAAGAAGTAATTGGAGTTACTAGCTAAATGAAAATATTTTAGCTTCTTTATGATGAGCTTAAATTAGGGCATTCATAAGCAGGGAGTGTAGGATATAGGTCAGATAGTTCAAGGATTTTCTGAAGCTTCTGATAGGGGTCAGTGTGGAGATTCGTGTTTTTTTTTTTTTTTTTTTTGAGGCGGAGTTTCACTGTTGTTGCCCAGGCTGGAGTGCAATGGCACAATCTTGGCTCACGCAACCTCCACCTCCTGGGTTCAAGCAATTCTCCTGCCTCAGCCTCCCGAGCAGCTGGGATTACAGGCGCCCGCCACCGTACCTGGCTAATTTTGTATTTTTAGTAGAGACGGGGTTTCTCTATGTTGGTCAGGCTGGCCTTGAGCTCTCAACCTCAGGCCCTGCTTGGGCCTCCCAAAGTGCTGGGATTACAGGCCTGAGCCACCGTGCCCAGCCCAGAGATTATTTTTTAACAGAGGCTTTGGATTAACCCAATGTTATTAGAACATTACAAACCATAAATTCTACAAACAAAAATTGCAATCACAAATTGTATATGCTAAGTGTGGGAAAATTACAAGTTACCCATTGGTTTCTTTAGGCATTCTTTTTTTTTTTTTTTTAGTTTTCAAAAACAACTTTATTCATGACACATATTTTTTAAAAAATTCCCACCCTGGAAATGAGCTAAAAAAACCAAAATACACTTTTCACCTCCCTGTTCCCACTTCTCATTCCCTCCAAATAAAAGGGAAAAAAGGCAAAGGAAAAAAAAAAAAAACTGAAAAACAAAACACTCCTAAACCTCCCAAAACAAGGTAGTGCATTTCCCCAGGGGGAAGGGGAATTTACACTGGAACCACTGGGAGCTGAATGGAGATCTTCCGGCTACAGAAACCTGCAAAGAAAGACACTCAAAACAGAAAAAGAAGCACAAAAGGAAACAAACTAGATCACCAGGCAATCTGGAGGGGCAGGGAGCCGGAGAAGAGGGCTGGGGTGGGTGGTAGACTTGACTGGACAGGAGCAGGCAGGACGGGACTGTGAAAGGTGAGGAGAAGATGGAGGGAAGGTAACAAGCAGAACAGTTTGGTGTCCTTCCAGAGCCCTGGGTAAAAAAAAAAAAAACAAAACCTCCTACCACCCACACTCACCTACCCTTGAGCAGCACCCAAGGGGGTGAAATGGTGCAGGGAAACATGGGGAGCAGCTTATGCAGTTGAGACGTGTCCATGGCGAATCCCCAGAGTGAATAAGCAGCCTCCTGCCCTACTCCCTGGGCCTTCCCCTACTCCCCAAAGCAGGTCCCTCCTCAGCTGTTAGTTATGGGATTTTCCCCCCTTCCGCAGTATATCTTTTTTTAAAAAAATGTTTTTTTTCCCATCAGGGTCATCTTCTGTTTTGTTTTGTTTTTATTCTTTTTTTTCCCCTCCTTTCCTCTTTTTTTCTTCTCTCTTCTCCTAATACTTTTTTAGTAAGGGGAATACCATGATGTTGCTCTAGCCCGGCCCCTGTAGACGCGACCCTGGGGCCTACTGTTAAAACCACTGTAGAATCGAGAGAGGTAACTGTTATAGTTGGTGGTCTGGGCGCCGTAGCGGGCTCGTGGGAAACCCCGGTCTGTTGTGTTGATTCCTGGTCTGTTGGTTCGTTTTGGGATCACCTTGATTTGCCTTCCTCTAAATAGGGACTCATCTGAGACCAAGGAAGTCCTCACTGATTCTTTGTCTGAGAACTCTGTATATGCAAACCCTTTGGGATGGCCACTAAATTTGTCACAGAGTATGGTGACACGGTTGACTGAATCACAGCCATGAAAGTGAGCTTCCAGCTCTTCTGCTGTTGCACCATAGTCCACATTGCCAACATAGATGGAACGGGCATCAGCCTCCATCTTCTCTTCAATGACATGATCACTGGGCCAGCATTGCCTAGAGGTGGACTTGTATTCATCTGCTTCTCTACCTCTGTTCTGTAGCTCCTTTAGCTTCTCAGCTTCTTCTTCCATCTCCCTGACTCGAGTTTTGATAGTTTCCAGTTCTTGGTCCTCAATGGCACCGTACCCCGGGTCACCCTCGACCAGTCCCAGCTCCTCCTCCTCCTCCTCTTGGCTGCCAGGGGCTCCCGAACCAGGCCCAGGGCCCGGAGCTCCTGCAGGAGTGGGGGTGTCGGGCTGGGGCGGCTCCTCTTCGGGCTTGGGCTCTGGCTTGGGGTCCAGCAGTAGCTCCTCAGGCTCCAGTTCCTCAGACTCCAGGCCATTCCCGTAGTCCCCTGTGCCCCCCGGGGTCCCCTCCCCGGCCTCCCCACCGGCCCTGGGCACAAGATGGCACCACCGCCCTGGCCTGGGGCCCCGACCGTCCGCAGCCCCCGCCATCCGCAGCCCCTGCCGCCTGCTCACTCTTCAGGCATTCTTAAATAATTGCTCCCCTTCCATAGTATTATGTTCAAGGTATTAAAGGCAGCAGTAGTACACAAATTAAGGAAAGAGTTAAAATTAGTTTATTCATTCATATTGTGTACCTGCTATGTTTTAGGCACTGAAAAATGGATATAAGTCTGGTATATTTGTCTAACCCATCAGTTAGCCTGGTGCCTGACACATATTAGGTTCTTAAGCAAGTGCATTAAGAGGATAAAGAAGTGTTGGCAGATTTTGCCTTCCATTTTTAATGGTTTCATCTCTTACTGTTCCTCTACAGGGCCAAAACACTCATTGACTCAGATCTCTCAATCCATGCTGGATCTCTGTGATGAAAAACTCAAAGAGGTAAGACAGAGTGAGAGAAAGGCAGTGGAATTTGAAGGAGGGGGGTATATCAGGGTTTAGGAAGTAGGGAATTTAACAGAAGGAAAAATATATGTGGGAGTAGCAGATATTTAGTATATGTGAAGGCTGGAAGGGACTTTAGAACTCATAGGCCAGTCCCTTTTGTAGATGGAAAAACTGGGCCCATAACTCATTAGAAAGGGCAAAGGAAAGTGAGTTTCCAGGAAGTCAGCTGTAGCTGAGAGACTAGTCAATGTTTTAGGAAGGAGGAATTTTAATTTTTTCTTTGTATTTTTAACCAACTAAGCAGCAAGTGCTAGAAGTTTTAATTTTTAAATGATAATCTATCTATATTCCCTCTTCTTACCAAAAACATTTAATGGTACTTTATAAATCTACAAAAGTGTAAGTATGAAGTAGACATTTCACAAAAGAGGATAGCTAGCCAGTAAACATGGAAAGATTCTCAACTTGACGGATTATTGAGGAGATGCAAATTTAAACCACGATGTCACTACATACCCACTGGAAAGGCTAAAATTAAAAAGACTGACAATACTAAGTGTTGATGAGGATTTGGAGCAATAGGAATACAAACTTTTTCCTACTAGAGTCTAAAATAAATTTATTGGGTTACGTCCCATTATACAAAAGTCACTAATCAGTAATAATGTTTAGTGTTGTTCAGCAGTAGTTTTATACCAAAAACAGAGAGCATGATCTTAAAGCCTAAATTGCTAAAGATGTTTTTTTTGTGTGTGTGGCAGCTATGATGTTGACACTCAGGGAAGTATAAATTTTGGTGAACCAGAAGAATAGAATGTAGAGTACCTAAAGAAGTTGTTGACGTATCCATTTTGACCGTTTTACTGGAATATCTGTTTTTTTTTTTTTTTTGAGACAGGGTCTCGTTCTGTCACCCGGGCTGGAGTGCAGTGGGATGATCTTGGCTCACTGCAACCTCCGCCTCCTGGGTTCAAGTGATTCTTGTGCCTTGGCCTCCTGAGTAGCTGGGACCACAGGCGTGTGCCACCACGCCCAGCCAATTTTTTTTTTTTTTAATTCTTAGTAGAGATGGGGTTTTGCCATGTTGACCAGGCTGGTCTCAAGCTCCTGGCCTCATGTGATCCACCTGCTCGGCCTCCCAGATTGCTGGGATTACAGGTGTGAGCCACTGTGCCCAGCCTGGAATATCATTTATCTTGACTTTTTGTCATTCCGTAGACAATTCAAAGTTACACTTTCTGGGGCAAGGGTCATAGATAGCTAGCTGAACCTTAAATTATCCTTAATTTTTTTTTTTGAGATGGAGCCTCGCTCTGTCACCCAGCCTGGAGTGCAGTGGTACGATCTTGGCTCACTGCAGGCTCCACCTCCCAGATTCATGCCATTCTTCTGCCTCAGCCTCCCGAGTAGCTGGGACTACAGGCGCCCGCCAACATGCCTGGCTAGTTTTTTTTGTATTTTTAATAGAGATGGGGTTTAACCGTGTTAGCCAGGATGGTCTCGATCTCTTGACCTTGTGATCCACTCGCCTCAGCCTCCCAAAGTGCTGGGATTACAGGCATGAGCCACCACGCCCAGCAAATTATCCTTAATTTTTCTGTGGTGATCACACCTTAGGGAAACTTCTGTCTTGGCTTTGCTTTAATTTCAGAAAGAAGACAAATTAGCTCGCTTAGAGAAAGCTATCAACCCCTTGCTGGATGATGATGACCAAGTGGCCTTTTCTTTCATTCTGGACAACATAGTCACCCAGAAAATGATGGCAGTTCCAGATGTAAGCTGTCTCTGTGCTAAATATTGTGAGGATCGTGCAGGGGAAAGGAAAAATGTATAGGGTGTACGTGTGTGTATTTTGGAGAGTCTAAGTGGGTATGTCAGTTGTGACTGGTATGTGATTTTAAATATTGACCTTTTTGCTGTATGGGTACATTATCTTTTTTTTAAAGAGTACATTATCATTGAAGTCAAAGAGGCCAGGAATCTTTGGATGTAGGGAGGTTTTTGCTTCCTGTTGCTGACATTCAGTATATGAATGCTCCTGAGTAGCCCTATAGAGAGAGGGTGCTAGCGAATGTGAGGCTTTTGATTTAAAGGTACTTCTAAGCAAATGATACTTTGATAATTAGACACCGTTGGTTGTCTTTTATTTCGTTTTTATATTGTTATGGTGATCCTCCCTAGGAATTCTCAACAGTTTCCTTTTGTACTATAGGAATGTGTTCTACGTGTGTAATGCTATAAAACTTCCGGATGGGACTAGGGAAGAAGAAATTTTAATTATGACTATAGAGCAAGTGTTTTTACCCTATCATGGCATAGAAATCCTTAAAGGAATCTGTGAACCCCTTACATTATATACAGAAGTTTTGTATGATTATGTGTTTTTCTAGGGAAAGAGTCCATAGCTTTTTATAGGAATATTTGTAACCCAACAAAGGTGGTGAAATTCTGGTATGAAGAGTGATTTCCATTTAATTTCTTATGCTTTCTATTTACTAGTCTTGGCCATTTCATCACCCAGTTAATAAGAAATTTGTTCCAGATTATTACAAAGTGATTGTCAATCCAATGGATTTAGAGACCATACGTAAGGTGAGTGACTGATTTGATCTAAATGCCTTTTTGTAATCAAGTGACTGTGTGTATCTGAGTGCCTGATTCTTTTCATCACAGAACATCTCGAAGCACAAGTATCAGAGTCGGGAGAGCTTTCTAGATGATGTAAACCTTATTCTGGCCAACAGTGTTAAGTATAATGGTGGGTATTTCTCTTTATTTTCTTTCCATGAATCCATCCATCTTCTATCCATCTGACATTACTTAGCATTATTAAAAAAATTTTTTTTTGAGGCAGGATCTTGCTCTCCTAACCAGGCTGGATGCTGTGATGTGATCATAGTTCACTGAACCAGGCACACGCCACTGCGCCAGGCTCTTTTTTTAGTAGAGACAGGGTTTTGCTGTTTTGCCCAGGCTGAGCTCAAGCAATCCTCCCACCTCGGCTTCGCAAAATGCTGGGATTACAGGCATGAGCCAACACTCCTAGCCAGCATTATTAAAATTTATGTGCATAAAGCAGCCTTGAGCAGTGATCACAGAATCAATTGAGTGACTTAGTCTTTTTATTTTTATTTTTTTGAGATGGAGTTTCACTCTTGTCGCCCAGGCTGGAGTACAGTGGCGCGATCTTGGCTCACTGCAACCTCCATCTCCCAGGTTCGAGCAATTTTCCTGCCTCAGCCTCCTGAGTAGCTGGGATTACAGGTGCCTACTACCACGCTCAGCTAATTTTTGTATTTTTAGTAGAAATGGGGTTTCACTGTGTTGGCCAGGCTTGTCTCAAACTCCTGACCTCAGGTGATCCATCTGCCTCAGCCTCCCAAAGTGCTGGGATTACAGGTGTGAGCCACACTCCTGGCCAGTCGTTTTTTTTTTTTTTTTTTTGAAGCAAGCATATATTTTAGTGTGTATGTTGTATAAAGATTGCTATTAGCCTTTAATGATGAAAAAGTAATATATGCTTACTTTTGAAATCTCGGAAGGCACAGAAAAATGAAGTGAGAATAAAAATCAAATGGATATTACTTTGGGCTCTGAGCCATCACTGCTTTTTCCTAGAATGTGAAAACTCACCTATGTCCCAGGCCCTTAGATGGAGCTTAGGGAAATGGGTAGCTATGGACCGTGGTGAGCTTCCTTGGTGCATGGAGTTTTGCTCAGTACATGAGTTGATTGAATAACATATGCCAGGCTCTGTGCTAGCTGCTTAATCTACTGATAAGAGAGACAGTCACTGTCCTCAAGTAATTCACAATCCAGTTGGCAGAAAGAGACAATTAAAATGCAGCTTGGAACCAGGCATGGTGGCTCATGCCTGTAATCTCAACACTTTGGTAGGCGGAGGTGGGAGGATTGCTTGAGGCCAGGAGTTTGAGACCAGCCTGGGCACACATAGCAAGACCTTCCTTATCTGTATAAAACACTTACAAACAAAAGCTTAGCTAGGTGTAGTGGTGAGTGCCTGAAGTCTTAGCTATTTGGGAGGCTAAGGCAGGAGGGTCACTTGAACTCAGGAGTTCAAGACTGCAGTGAGCTATGATCACGCCCCTGCACTATATCCTGGGTGACAGCAAGACCCTGTCTCTAAATAAATAAAATAAATAAGTAAAATGCAGCTTGACAAGGGCTATAATAGAAGTATGTGCAGAGTGCATCAGACGAGAGCAAGGAATATCTTGAGAGGGAAGGCTTCATAAACAAGCTAATACAGTTTTTAATGACAATTTTTAAACATTGAGTACTTATATGTGCTGGCACTGATAGATGTTATAAATATCAAATTATATATGGTTTCTGTTCCAAATTAGTTTAGTTTAGTTCGGGAAACAGAAAAGAAAAATTATAGTACTTAAATTTTACTGCTATAAGCATGCACAGAGTATCACAGGACAGTATATCTAAATTAGAGTGGGGCGGGGTGCGGTGGCTCACGCCTGTAATCCTAGCACCTTGGGAGGCCAAGGCGGGTGGATCACTTGAGCTCAGGAGTGCAAGACCAGCCTGGGCAACATAGTGAGACCACATTTCAAAAAAAAAAAAAA